TAGGGGAAACTGATCCACTCGCTTATATGATCCACTCGCTTATAATATACGTTATAAGTAATTATCTCTGGATTGACAAGCACCGCCACACCGCCCAACTGGTCTGAGCTCCTGAGATACGCTATACCGATTTCTTCAATTACAAGATGGTGACCAGTGTCTACATGAAGGACGTGCAAGACCTGGTCGAGCAAGTCTGCCAGGCTAACCATGTACATCCATTAGACGACAAGGTAAGTACTAAAGCTGTAATGTATAGACAAGCCTGCAAATCCACTGTTTGGTAGAGCTATTAACCTAATTAAGATCGTGCAGATTCGAGGACATCAGTACAGCACGACTCATTCCCAATTTCCACAGGTCAGAACTACAATGTTGGGCAGCCAAGCCTGATTTCCTATATCGGTACGCTCGTCATTGAGGCCTCACATGTTTTGGGAGAGAGAACCAATCCATGAGGAATTCTAGGCTAAAAATTGGCTGCATGTCTTCTGAAGGTACCTACCCACCTGTACTCACAGTTACAGATGTCACGCTCGAAGCTGCCAGGGAAGTTATTCGTACGATGTACGGCGTGAAGGCGGATTAGATATTAGAAGGCAGGATGCAGCGTGTCATGTAGGTGGCAGCCCAACACATGCACAATGTTGCACTCTAACTCCACGGCTCTGATATTGGTGCGCCTAGTGCCTGGAAACCGCTGAAAGGCCCGGTGCAAAACGGCAGTCCAAACCACAGCACATGCTGTCCCTGTGGAATACAGCGGAGTCGCGATTTGTGGAGAGCAAGGACGGTTGCATCCTTTCGCCGGGGCCATATATAGCACACCGTGGACGTGTTTGGCAGCCTTGGAGGATCTACTCAGACGACAACTTGACCATGACCATGAGCTTCAAGCCCTAGGCGGCGGGGGATCCCCACGATTTGCGAGTCGACTACCGTTTCCTCTCCCAATATATCCGTGTCCCTTGAACTGATCCAGAGAATCGTTACAGTTCCTTGGCAGAACTCGACAACACCATCACCGCCAATTCTCTTCGAGCAGTCGTGCCGCCAAAGTCTTATTCTCTGTCCGTGGATATAATTACCCGAGAAACCCCTGAGAGGGGCGACAATTCTGGTAAAGGACATGTTCGACATCGCTGGCACCAAGACAACACTCTGCAACCGAGCTTGGACAGAGTACCATCCAGTCGCGACCCAGACGGCACCTTGCATCCAGCGTCTTCAAGACCTCGGCGCCTGGATTGTTGGCAAGACACGTCTCAATGCCATGGTTATTCGCGAGAAGACCATGGAGTGTGTCGAGTTCCTTGCCCCGTACAACCCGCGAGGTGATGGCTATCAGACATCGTCGGGCAGCAGCAGTGGGAGCTGCGCTGGTGTTGCGGCTTACCCGTGGGTCGACTTCGCCATTGGGTCCGACAGTATGTGGCCTTCTTCCGCCCCTTGTTGTTTATGCCGGGCTGACATTTTGATCTAGCAAACGGGAGCTGCCGCAAGCCCGCGTACTGGAACGGCTGCTTCGCGGTCCGGCCGACCCATGGTGTGCTTGACACAAGCGGTGTTGCCTCATTCTGCCCGTCCGTTAAATCCATGATGCTCTGCATGTCCCGTAATTATGGGTCGAGAGAGCCGAGACTGACGTTTAGCTAGGTTTTACGATGTGCCCACATTCTTCGGCCGCGATGTATCACTCCTACGTAAGTTTGCTACTCTCTGGTACGGAGATTCAGAGAGGTTGATCAAGCAACCAACTCGCAGCGCCGTTAGATACCCACCCCCAAGCTAATTGTCGATCAACTTCACGTTGACCAACCGTCTAATTACAGGTTGGCACCAGAATTCTCTACCCCACCGATTATCTCCCCACGCAGAATGCGGGCCAAACCCGTCTCATTCATTCTTTCGTCAAGGACTTGGAAAGCCTCCTGGGTATCAAGAGAACAGAGCTATCACTCGCTGACATGTGGCGAGAATCCAAACCCGATTCGGTGGAAGAAACGGACCTCGCCGAATATCTCAAGACGGTATTGCCCCCTCTTCTCTCCAAGTATTGAATCGGGATGCTGATACCACCATACATAGGCCGGGACCTTACCGTACTACAAGGACGCCGTCCAGATTGCGAAGGATTTTGTCGACGGTTACAAACAGAAATTCGACAAAGCCGCTTTCCTCCACCGTGACCTACGTTGGCGCTGGTAAGCCTTCAGAATCCCTCTTTACGTGTGCTTGTAGGCTTCAGGATAATGACACATGATAGGGAAATGGCGGACAACGTCACCCCCGAAGAGAGAGACGAGGGATGGGAACGCATCTACACTTACAGAAAGTGGCTTCTCGACAACGTCTTCCTTGAAGGGACAGTCCTGGTCCTACCCGTGGACGAAGGCAAGCCAAGCTATCGTGATGATCCTCCGCCGTGAGTCCTACCCTTCTCCGAGAAAGATTTACGCTAAACCTGGCAATCCTCCAGTCCCTTCGGCCTCCTCGGTGGGTTTTCGCCGCTTTACGTGTCCCCAATCGCCGGGACGCCCAAAATCACCGCGCCGAGTAAGTGCATCGCAATCGCAAAAAGAAGGGAACAATACAAAGTCCTCACAAGCATACGCATAGTCAGCGAAATATCCTATCATTCGCAAATCTCCCAGCGAGAAGAGCCGCTTCCGATCAGCGTGTCTCTAGCCTCGGCTCCGGGTGAGTCCTTATCCCTTCATTTCGAGACCTGTCGAGCTCTTGTGTCTGACGCAACCATTAGGCACCGACCTTGCCCTTGTTGATCTCATGCACAAAACGCTGGAGCATGGGAAGAAGCCTGTCAAAGTTCAGACTGGCCGGTCCATATTCGGTGGATGAGTGCGTTTGCCAGTGTTCAACGCGAGGTGACGCAAAGTGGGGCTGAACTCTCGCATGGGCAACTTATTATGTACAGTATACTAGGTAATTGCATGTTGAATTTGTAGTCTGTAGCATTTTCAGGATGACGTTGATATGTGAGGTGGATCAAAGTTTCAGCTGCCATTGACTAATTACCTATCCTAATTCAGCCGACTTAACCCCCCTCGCCGTGACCGAAAAAAGCAGCAGACCAATTCCCGGGGCTATTTACTGTTCTACAAAAATGAAAAGAGACCAAGAAAAATAAACCAAGAAACTCGGAGAAGGCGGAAAACAATCACTCGGGGAAGGTGGAAGAGTACGGAAGGAGTAGATTTGAAAACATGAAAGAAGGTATACAAATAATAAATCGAAGAAATGACAACACGATGAAAAAGAGTAAATCAATTAAAGTTTGTTGAGACTTGATCGAATGTCAATGGATTGGATTTCAGCTAGTTATCTGTTTTCGTCTGCCGTTTTTTTGGCCACCGCGAGCCCATCCACCCCCTCCCCCCCCCGCGGTGCCACAAGTAAGGCAGCCCCGACCAGCAAGGCTCGGGGTCGATGACTCGATGGCAATTCGAGCAGGTGTTGTTGCCTCGGCGCTTTTCAGCAAGCCTCCTCCCTTCTACGCATTCAACACCTGGAATGCACAAGAAAGTCACACGGCCAGTTGCTCCATAAGACCTGCCCATATTAGTTCCAAGTTCGGCGACACTCCTTTAAGCTGTACCTCATGGGTAAGTCTTCAATCCAGGCATACATGAACACGCCTATCTGGATTGACATATTGACCTATGTATTTTCCATCGATGATGCCAGCGAGTATCTGTCGAACTTCATTCAGCACTCCAAGCGAGGCGCGAGGACCAATCTTTTTCCAAGAGTTGAGTAGACTGACCGCCGTGGGCTGAAGCTCAACGCCAAAATCCTCAGAGCCGTAGAAAACGATGTGGCTAAGGAACTCGGGTTGAAAGGTTGGATCCTGCTCGAGGATGTTCCTACGGAAGTCTTCAAGCTTCGGTCCTGTGATTTTGTCCCCATGGCGGATTGAGTAGAGAGTGAAGGGGGTAAGCTGCTGCGAGGCTGCAAAATTAAGATCCGTGCTCAATGGTGAGTGCTTTAAGTATGCTCATGTTAGTACTAGACAGGCGCGCGTAGGACTGGGAAAGACAGGGCCGCATACGCAATTGACTAGGAGGTAGGGGACATCGTTGAGGACCACGGTGAGGTCTTCTTTCACGGTCCTGGAACCCCCGATGGTTTCCATATTGCCTACGTCCGAACAAATGATCCTTGATTAGGAGAGGGAGGGGCTGTACGCCGTCAGCTTAGAGAAAGCTCAACCAGAGGGGTTGAAAGGTTGCCGACGACCAAAGGATAGGTAAATCTATCGGCAGTTAAGGGAGGTAGTGAGGATAGGACTGTACGAAGAAAGACATTCCTATCACCGTTTGGGAGTTCGTACCTATTACCAAACCACGGAACACGTTTGTTGCTGTGGCACAACGGTGGGCGACGCAATGAGGTCTTGGTTCCGGGTGTAGTAATGTTGGACCTATAGCAAACAGTAAGCAACTCGTTTTCCAAGATACGAAATTCGGCATCTGCGCTCCTGCCTTCTTCACAATGGCGCGAGAATTCCAACACCGGTATATGATGATCACGCGCAGGCAGGTTCCCAAACTCAAAATGTAACAATCGGGTCATGTGTTGTCATACCCAGTGGTAATGGCCGCCTAGCTGCGAGATGTGAGACGACCGCCGAGTGAAATTGGTTTGCGTCGAAAAGCGCAACTCCCAGAATGATGATTACAGAAACATGGTGAGTACCCCCATCAAATTCAGGCAAACAAGAGGCGGGGCTACCTTGCATTTTGGGCGGTGCTGAAATAGTTAATACTGTGGTTCCGGATACGTGTTCTCGGCCTCCCCACAAGAACGGTATCTTGTCTTTGTTGTTCAAAGGGGGGGTATATTTGGTCCTCGTGGTTATTCCGATACTGTGTGGACAGTCAGCTCGGTTCCATCCTCCCAATTTACAACCCGCCGTGTAAAATTTCTGAAGAGGTCAACTATACCATTTATCGCTAAATAACGCTAAAAGAACTTAGTACATATCTAATTGTATCACGGGTGTGCACAACTGACCACTCTGTAACATCGTCAATGAAGGGCGGTGGTTCGAACTTTCAAGTCCAGGATTTGTGTTTAGGAATTAATTACACTGTCACGACAAGTGACTTCTTGGGGTAACATGATATGATAATATAATGTAAGGTGCTTATCAACATTGCACCTCGGGCAGTTCGGTGGCCGCTGTATGTTATAATACCGGGATATGATTAACCAGCGTTCTGCCGCGACTTGCCATGACAGGGGTTTGGAAGCCCTAAAGCTGACTCGTAATTGTGTACAATTTTTGTGATGATAGACCGCCCACTCAGCCAGGTATGTCTCAACCGAGGTCCGTGGCGCCCGTGCCTGGATGTACGTGGCCGCCTGACTGATGGCTAGCGGAACGAAGTTGGACCCTACGACGAGGACAACGGGCTCGTTAGTCGTTGACAATATTGACAATAGAGGTGAGAACGAAATTGAAACCGCCTCTGGTACTACCACTAGCAACACATCGTGATCACAAAATAAAAATGCAAATACCTTCGCCGCTCTCAAATTTAAAATATCCCTACTGTGCTACAGAGTATAGGGTACACCCCTACCCCAGCAAGTATAACGGTGGTTATTCGTTATCCTCAATGACTACCTTGGGCCTCGATGTCCACGTTTGATGCCCTCCTTGAGCCTCGCTAGGTCCGATGATGGCAATAAAAGTCGTGGTCCAGCCATAATGCGCCACACTTACATAGGTACCTACCTAGGTACCCAAGTAATTAATTACGTGTGGGTCTCGCTGTGGTATCTCGCTGTGATCAAGAAAGCGGCAGACCAAGTCCCTGGATCATTTACTTTTCTACAAAAGTGAAAAAAGACTAAGAATACATCAAGAAAAGTGAAAGATGACTAAGAAGAGTAAATCAAGAAAAAGTTTAAAAAAAAGCGAATCAAGAAAGTGAAAAAGGACAAAAAAGAGTCAATTAAACAAAGTGAAAGAAGATAAAAAATAATAAATCAAGAAAATGAAAAAAGACAAAAAAGAGTCAATTATTTCCCACCGTCGTAGAGGTGGTTGCAGCATCGTTCGTCCTGTGGTATTTTAGTGCGGAACACAATCGCAAGGCGTGGTTTGGTTAATTTTTTAGGGTTTGTTGTGAAGGTCACTCATCCTAGATCCCCGGAGGTGTTTTTGCTGCCGCGCGTAGATGGGAGGAATTCACCCTGGGACAACGGGATATATACTGGCATCAGGACGGCAAGAGAGAATATGTGCGATACGGTGATAACATAGTATTTAATTAGCGGCCAAATGTGATGCCACTAATCGTCCCATAGTTCGCTCCAATCTGCATGCCTTTCTTCTGGCCCCCGAAGTTGTTGACCACATGAGCGTTGTCTTTCTGGGCATTCTCGGCTGCGGTATGGATGCCTGAGAGGAGTTCTTGGAGCAATTTTCGTGATTCGCCCAAGACGGTCTGTTCGATTGCCACCTGACTGATCGCACTAGTTCGGTCGGCTTCCGTTTCATTTTCCTCTTGCTTCGCCATACAGAGTGCTCCCAGCTTGGTATTGACCTCGGCCAGTTGTTTCTCCGTCGTAGCAATGGAATCTGCAATGTCGGCCTCCTGCTTCGATATCGCCACTATGATCTCCTCGGTTGCTCGCTTCTGCTGAAGGGAACTATGTCTGCCGATAGGTAAGTGGTTGGTCATGAAGAGTTTGGGGGCCTCGCTTACAGGGTTGCAGTGCAAACAACGGAGGTGAGAGTGAGCTTGCAATGTTGCAGCTGCTCCGACATGGACTTCACGTGGCCTTGTTTGAGGAAGCCGACCATTGCGCGATCCCGCAGAGAGAGCTTCCCGTCATCGCTGTGCCTGGTCCAGCGACCGAGAGTGGCTCTGAACCTGTCACATGACTCTCCGCAAGAGGTGGTCGCAGTCTTGGATTGAGCGAGGACGGCGTCGCCAAGTGACTGCCACTGCGCTTCGGATACGGCCTGGAGTGAAACAAGGGCCTGGTCCACGGAGAGGAGATCATTCCTGAGTGACTTGAGGGCTTCGGGGGCATCGACGATCTTCTGGATGTCCTCGAGGAGAAGGCGTATACAATGCACTGCCGGGGTAGCAATGCCTACGACGCCAGCTGTAATGCTCAACGGGTCCATCGTGAACGGTACAGCAACTGAGGAGGGCCAGAGGCGTCCGTTGTCCACACTTCGGGCAGCACCAGGCTGTAATTGCTGCCAGAGGAGGTTGTCCTCTGGCTGAGCCATTGGATCACGTGCGATAGGCATCATTGGGCAGCAATGTTCAGCCGCATCATCCTCATCTTCATAGCAACAACATCACCAGCAGCCTGTCGGACTGTCGTTCGGCAGGATCGTCGACAACAAACTCGATCACAAGTTCACGACGTGACGACAATGTCGCGAACGCCCGTGGTGTCTTTCGAGGCCCAGGACCAGGGTATCCAGGTGGGGCAGAATTATGGGTCGATCAAGACGGAATTCCACCTGCCAGTGGGTAGGGTTCCCCTGGTTCCTGCCACAGCTAGTTATTAACGTTCTGTTCTTTCCCAGAACGACCAGAGACGCCGCCGCAACCGTGCGCGAATATCCCCTTCTCTCGCGATCCCGATTTCGTCGACCGCGGAGACATTCTCGACCAGATCGACCAGCGATGTTCCGAGCCGGCTGGTCGGGTGGCCCTCGTAGGCCTCGGCGGCGTGGGCAAATCGCAACTGGCCATCGAATACGCTCACCGAATTGCCGCGGGCCAGCCTGATAAATGGGTATTCTGGGTCCACGCTGGCACAAAGGCGCGCGTCGAGGAAGGCTTCAGGATGATCGCCGACGCCGTCAAGCTTGCCGGCCGTAACCAACCAAAAGCCGACATCTCACGGCTTGTATATAGCTGGCTGTCCAATGAACGGAACGGGGAATGGATTCTAGTCCTCGATAGCGCTGACGACGGCGACGTATTCTATAACGTGGATCACGCCTCTAGCGCAACGAGTGGCGATACGGGCGAGAGGCGGCCGTTTGCGACATACCTGCCACAAAGCCGAAACGGATCGATTCTCATAACCACACGCAACAAGGACTTGGCTTTCAGGCTGACTGGCCGCCGTCAGAACATGATCGATGTCGGCCCGATGGCGCAGGCGGATGCACTTTCACTCCTGGAGAAAAAGCTGGGAACGCCGGCGAATCCAGATGTGGCGGCCGATCTCGTGGAGGCGCTCGACCTCGTTCCGTTAGCGATCAGTCAGGCGGCCGCGTACATCCAGGCACGAGCGCCACGGACCTCGGTTGAGAAATACCTGGCCGACTTCCGGAAAAACGAGGGTAGGAGGGCCCGGCTACTGCGGTACGACGGCGGCGAGCTGCGACGGGAAGGAGGCGCGTCGAACGCAATTCTGATGACATGGCGGATGTCTTTTGAGCATATCCAGTCCAAGCGGCCATCGGCGGCGGATCTCCTGTCGCTTATGAGCTTTTTCGACCCACAAGGTATCCCGGGGTGGGTGTTAAGGGGTTCCAGAACCGCCAACACAATGCAAGGAGGAAACCTAAACGAGGCCGGAGATGGGATGTCGGACGACAGCGGCGGCACTACAAATAATCTTCTGGACGACAACACGGACACAGACGATAATTCAGACGGGGATGTCGACGACGGATTTGAAGATGATGTGGCTATGCTAAGGGACTACTGTCTTATCGCTACCACCGGAACAGGGGACGAGTTTGAGATGCACGGGCTTGTACAATTATCGACAAAGAAGTGGCTCGAAGAGTTTGCGCGGCGAGAGACGTTCGAACAGCGTTTTATCGAGCGACTTGGAGCCTCGTTCCCAACGCCGGAATACGAGAACTGGGCAATGTGTCAGGGTCTCTTCGCACATGTTCAAGTGGCACTGGATTACCGACCTAGTGGAGAGACGGCTGCAACATGGGCAGACCTTTTACAGAACGGGGGGCAGTATGCATGGTTGCAAGGGCAATACAGGGTTGCGCAGCAGATGGCAGGCAAGGCGAGGGAGGTTAATCAGAGGATATTTGGAAGAGAAGATGTGGCGACTCTAGCAAGTGTATCGCTATTTGCCGCGATCCTTATGGCCCAAGGCAAGTGGTCCGAGGCCGAGAAGCTACAGGTACAGGTGATAGAGGCTCGGAAGACCAAGCTCGGGGCTGATCACCCCGATACCCTGACGAGCATGAACAACCTAGCTTACGCTTGGAAAGCTCAAGGTCGAGATGTAGATGCTTTGGTACTGATGGAGGACTATGCCCAGGCTCGGCGGCGAGTGCTTGGGGAAGCGCATCCACAGACACTGCAGTCTTTGGCCGCTGTTGTTGATTGGAAATCCGAAATCACTGGTTAGACGTTATATGGGGCAAACGAATATTAGCCACATGTATATCACGAAGGAATTAGGCTCCAATTGATGGGTTTGAACAGGTTGGTTGAACTGGGCTAAAGCGGCCATGTTCCCTGTCTTGGTTCCCCCATTGAACTTTTTTTGGGCTGGATTTTATCTCAGCATCTCAGTCACAAGCCTCTGGTGCTTGGTCCGTGTGCATTTACCCCACCCTAACGATTCCCACCAATCACAACGCATGTACATGAATAGCGCGAGCTCGTCCAAGGCGATTTGGCGGGGATTTAGCATTTCGAGTTCCATAAGATAGGGAATTAATTGTTACTCTACAAGTATCTATAACGCTTGCTTGAGTGACAACACAACTCTGCAAACTGCCTTCAAAACCAGCCCGTTTTATGTGATTATTAACCTATTTCATGATCAGTGAATACTATATCTCAATATCTCACTACTGTTAAATCATGACCACCAAAAATATCCTCATCACCGGCGGCGCCGGCCTCGTCGGCCCCCTCCTCGCAGCCCGTCTCCTATCTACCCCAGACCACCACGTCCTCCTCACCGACCTCGCTACCCCATCCACGCCCCTGGGCACCACCCACCCAGAGAACCTGACCACTCTCCAAGGCGACATCACCTCGCCCGACTTCGTGACCACCCTCGTCACCCACCCGGCCCTACAACCGCTGCACGCCGTATACATCCTCCACGGCATCATGTCGGCGGCTGCCGAAGCCGACCCGGCGCTCTCCCAGCGCGTCAACGTTGACTCGGTGCGGCTACTAACGGATGCCCTTCTCGTACACCACCCACGGGGCTCGGTCCGAGTAATCTACACCTCCTCCCTAGCCATATTCGGCCCCCCCTTTCCCCCACCATCCCCAGCAACATCATCATCCCAAGTGACCACCACCAAACAAGGCATCATCCCCCCCACCCCCCAATCCACCTACGGCACGCATAAACTCCAAACCGAACTCCACCTCAACAACCTGCACCGTCTCGGCGCCTTCCACAACACCGTCCTCGCCCGCTTACCCACCCTCTCCGTCCGCCCGGGCAAACCCACCGGTGCCGCCTCCTCCTTCCTAAGCGGTATCATCCGCGAACCGATGGCCGGGGTCGAAGCCATCGTCCCGTTGACGGATCGGTCGTTCAGGGCGTTCTTGGCGTCCCCGCGGACGGTGGTGGAGAATTTGGTGAGGGTTTTGGAGTGGGAGGAAGGGGTGCTGCCGGAGAGGCATGTGAGGTCGGTGGTGTTTCCGGGCGTGGCGGTTAGTGTGCAGGAGTTGAGGGATGCGTTGGGGAAGTTTGGGGGGGAGGAGAAGGTGGGGTTGATTCGGGAGGTGAGGGATGAAGGGTTGGAGGGGATTTTGAGGGGGTGGGGGGAGGAGTATGAGGTTGGGGGGGCTGTGGAGTTGGGGTTGGTGAGGGATGAGAGTGGGGAGGGGTTGGTGAGGGAGTATATTGAGAGTTTGGGTGTTTAAGGGGTTGATCTTGGGGGGTTTATCCGTCGGGATGATGAGTATGACGGTTTTGATTCAATGGACGCGACCATGCCAACTTCAAATCTTGAATATCTGAACTTATATGGACGGGTCTCGAGAGATATGTGGCTGATAAACTGCGTAAAATGTATGTCGGTACCTCTAAACTCCGGTCGGATACAGGACTGTTAAATTTCAGGGCCGTGGGCGAGCAGTGCACGATGAGACAAATTCTGAGGAACACAAGCTTAATCCCGATTAACGCCATTAATTACCCCCCTTCGAGAACCTTTGAAATGTATGGACGAACAAGACAATTTCTGGTCTTAATTACCCTGTGACGTCGATAGACCTCATCTCGTGAAACAAATGCCGGATCGACTCCCGAATAAATTGTCCGCTCAAACTACCGGATCCCACATTGCCCGGACATAATTCCGGCAAGCTCCCGAAGATCATCTGTCGTTCGAAAATATCCGGCTAAGCTCACGGTCCCTGTTCCATGGGATGGTAACCATAACACCAATAACACCCCCACTAAGACCCCAACTTCTCATAAGACATTAATATACCGGCCAACAATCTCTGGGTATGTCATCCATGCATTGTTTTCACGTCGATATTAACCCGGCCGCCGCATCTTCGGGTCTGTCGCGCAGTTATGAACACGCTTATGAACACCAACGCGGACCCGGAGAATCGAGCCCAGTTTGGTGTAGATGGTCGAAAAGGTGGTGATCCATGCCTGAAGGGTTCCCGAATTACTTTCCGTGTCATGTGATAGTGCCCATCATCCGAAACTTAAAGAACTGGGGTTGAGTCGTGCGTGAGGAAACAGAGATATATAAATCACCCTCAACAGCAGCACCTCATCCCGTCTTCCAATGCCATCATCGGGCCGTTCCGAGCAGCAGTGGTAATCCCCTCCCGCGAAACGCCACTTACACCACAGCGTCACATCGTCATCTATGTGTCGTGACACTTGACTTCATCACCACCAACAACCCTAATCCAGCACACCACCAACCACAACACCACCACCAACATCACCAACAAACCACCACCATGACCGTCCGCACCCTCCCCTCGCGTCCCACCAAAAAGCCCCCCTCCCACACCCACACCCCCCCCGTCCGCCTCCTCAAATCCCTCCTCTCCCTCCTCTCCCCCTTCACCTACCTCCACCTCTCCCTGCACCACCCCCTCTGGCACTTCCTCGAACACCACCTCTACGCCCTCCCCAACCCCCCGCCCCCCCGCACCCGCACCCGTCCCATGGAAGTCCTCTGCGTCGGTTTACCGCGCACAGGTACCGAGTCCCTGCAACAGGCGCTCATGGCGCTGGGGTATGAACATACTTATCATGGGTGGGATGTGGTATATGATGAGGAGTGTTATGCGCCCGGGTGGGTGGAGTTGGCGAGGCGGAAGTGGTATCCTGCTTCGGCGGTTCCGGCTTCGGACCTTTTCGGGGAAGGGGGTAAGGAAGGGGGAGTGAAGTTGAGACGGGGCACAGCAAAGATGCTTGCGGAACAGGCGCAGACGGTGCATACCATTAGCGCGGGGGAGTTTGATAAGCTGTTGGGGCATAGTGTGGCGGTTACGGATGCGGCGGCGAGTGTGTTTGCGGCGGACTTGATTGCGGCGTACCCTGAGGCGAAGGTGGTGTTGAATATGAGGAGGGATTTGGACGGGTGGGAGAGGAGTTTGGAGAATACGCTGGTGCATGCGAATGAGAGTTGGGGGTTTTGGTTGGCGAGTTGGTTGGATCGGGAGTGCTTTTGGGCGTGGCATGTGTATGAGCGGTTTTTGTGGCCGGTGTTGTTTAGAGCGCCGGATGGGAATATGAAGAGGGCGATTAGGGCGAATGCGCGGTGGGTGCAGCGGGGTAAGTTTCTCTGGCTTGTTTCCTTTTCTAGGTGTTATCGAGACGCCTGCTAATAAGTGAGCTAGAACACGCCAACATGATCCGCGGCCTGGTCCCCAAAGACCTCCTGCTGGAGTGGTACATCGAGGACGGTTGGGAGCCCCTGTGCCAGTTCCTCGGCAAGCCTGTCCCGGACGTCGAGTTCCCTCACGCCAACGCCCTCAACACCGGCTGGAAGGCCCGCGAAGACCAGGCCAACAAGCGCTGGATCGAGCGCGCGTTCCTCAACATGATCATCTTGGGCTTTGCCCTCACGGCTGTGACGGTGGCGCTGCGGAGATATGTTTTGTGAGTTTGGCCTCAGGGCTAAGAACTTTCTGAAGTTAGACTGGCTGGCGGGACTTCTTGCCGGTCATCGTGATATGGTGGAAAGAAAGATCTGTGTGATAGAGGCGCTGTCAGCTTTTGGGTGTAGCCACCAAGCGTACTTGGATGTAATACAACTTCATGACGGGTTTACTGACAAAGAAGCCGTGCGGTTGTGGGGTGTGTGTATGTATGTGATTATGTACATGGACGCACCAGGAATCAGTGTTTATCTCGGCAGGAAATACCAAGGAATAACCAAACCTCTGAAATTCCCAACCCCGGCGTTGCCCGCGCGCCCGACGAGATCCGTCCGTAAGAAAATGCCCAGGGTGTTGTTAGTGTTGGCATCAACGTCCTGTTCCATATTCTGAGGAACCTCGACTGCATTCAACAGATTTCTGGTCAGCGAGCCCTAATATTAACCCAACCACCCTCAATTTTTCACCACGGCCACATGTACTCCTCCACATCTTGGTAGGTATCCACGATGGAATCACCAAATTTGTCCTGGTGATATCGGTAACGTACTTTATCAGCGAGCGGGACATATCAGCGAGCGGGACACTAAAGTCTTG